TATACAGTTATACAGTATATACACACACACACACACACATATATATATATATATATATATATATATACAGTATATATACACACACACACACACACACATATATATATTTTTTACTTTGTTTTCATTTGAATTTAAGCTGAAGTAAGAGTGTCTGTATGTTTTTTATTTATAGAATTTTTTTATTTCAGTTTTAGTTATTTTAGTTATTTTCAGGTTAAGCTAATTAAAACTTAGAAATAAAAAAGCTGAAATAAAAAAAATAAGTTTAATTTAATTTATGTAATTTTATTTCAGTTAAATTTTAGTTTCAAGTAACTGAATTTTTATGTAATTTTTTTTCAGTTTTGGTTTCAGTTATTTTAGTACATAAATGTTAATCTAAATGAAGATGAGAAATTATCAGTTTAAGATTAATGTTGTGCTATTACTTCAAGTTAAACTTGACACTAAGCTTGGCAGTTCGCTGAAATAAAATAAGTTTAAGTTTTATATATGTGTTATATATATATATATATACTGTATATACACACACACACACACTTGTATTTAAAGTAACTTTTTTAACATAACTTTTATAAAAGTTATTTTAGTACTTCAAGTCAAACTAAATGAAAATGAGAAATGTTGCCTTGCCAACCTGCTGACATAAAATACGTTTGTTTTTTTTAATCATTTTATTTCAGGTAACATTTGTTTTATTTTTAAGTAATCAAAATGTTTTTTAGCCTAAATGAAATTTAATAAAGATTATTTCATTAAAAATAAAATGGAAAAAAATAATTTAAATTTTTTATTTTTTTTACGTTTTAGTTTTTAAAATAACATTTTTATTTAATTTTAAACTATTTTAGTGAATGATTACAATCCTTGATGAGAAGTTCAAAGTTGTTCCAAGACACAGAATGCAGTCTTGATACCGGTTTACAAACTTTCAGTATTAATAGTTCAATGTTAAAAGTTATTCTAAAGTTAATATTGAGTAATTACAAATACCACGAGCGCCTCACCTGCATGTAAGCGTGGTTGGTGGGATGCAGGTCGTCTCCCAGCGGGTTCGGGCAGCTCCCCTCACAGCGGTACGCGTTGTACTTCTTGGGGAAGACGATCCAGGAGCCCCATCCGATCTGATTGAAGTCCACATGCATGTCGACCCTCCTGCACTTGGAGCTCTTCCCGGCCGGACTCCTGAGTGGCTCCGGGTTCCTCACCGGCTGACCCCTGCGGCCCCGCTTGCTCCTGTGTGGCTTGTCTCTCCGCACCTCCTTTCCTTCGCTGTTAAACAAGAACTTGGACTTCTCTGCTGTGTGCAGGAGACTGGCTCGGTCCTGCTCGCTCTGTCCAGAGACGGTGTGTGAGAAGACCAGCAGCATGGCTCTGTGACGGATCCCATCCGCAGCTTTACTCCCGGAGTGCAGAGCGTGTCTCGCGGCTCTCCTCTCTGAGAGTTTGGGGCCGATCCAGTTTAGGAGCAGGTCTGTGGCGTTGTAGACCCTCCAGTGATGGGAGACGCTCATCAGAGAGGAATCGGACAGTCGACCCAGGGTCTGGTCCTGCTGGTGTCGAATCTCCACCGTGATGTTCGTTTGCTGCGTTTCTTTGGGAATACGAATCCTCAGCTCCGCCGCCTGGATCTGACGCTCGGACAGAACTGAGGAAAGATCGAAGTGTGTGACGTAGTGTGTGTCTTGATTGGTCAAACCTGGAAGGCACAAAGAAAATACATGAGTATATGTCACATATATGTCATATATGATTACATGTCAGTCATATTTAGAATTTTTTTTTAAATACTGTATATCATTGCTGTCTTGCAAAAAATAAAAAAATTAACAAATATATATATATATATATATATCAAATTGAAATAGTAATATAATTAGTGAATTTTAAATATTTTTAAATGTTAAACGTATATAAAATAATTATATTATATCATTATTAAAATAATTATTAATAAATAAAAATAAATTTATTTATTTATTTGAAATTTATTTATTCGCAATTTTGCATATGCCTCATTTCCTAACATTATTTTTAGGCTCCATATATTACTATAAAAAGCAGTTTAGACTTTGGCAAAACTTAAAAAAAAAAAAAAAGTTAAAAAAAAAAGAAATTTAGCATATTATACATTGATGGGCAATTATGTCATCCATCAACCACTGAAAAAGATGGAAAAACATCTAAAAATTGTATTTATTTATTTTGCAATGTTGCATATGCCTCATTTCCCAACATTATTTTAGGCTCCATATAGTACTGTAAAAAAATCAGTTTAGACTCTGGCAAAATTTTGAATTGATTAAAAAAAAACTTTAATAAATTCTAAAAAGTTTTTAATCTTAGTTGGTTGAAATTTTGCATATTATACATTGATGGGAAATTATATCATCCATTAACCACTGGAAAAAAAATCGAAACAAACTCTAAATAAATTATTTAGCAATTTTGCATATGCCTCATTTCCTAACATTATTTTTAGACTCCATATATTACTATAAAAAGCAGTTTAGACTTTGGCAAAACTGAATTTATTTAAAATAAATGAAAGAAAAGAAAGAAATCTTGGTTGAAATTTGCATATTATATACACACTGATGGGCAATTATATCATGCATCAGCCACTGATATTTAAAAAAAAAATCGAAATATAATTAATTTTTCTGTTTTGTATATATGCCTCATTTGATATCATT